TTCCCCCCTGAGTTGTTCGCCCCCCTGAGTCCCTCCTGGAGAAGGGCGGCATACAAATAAACCAAATACAAATACAAATACTACCTTGAAGTTAGAATCTATAGGTATTGGAATGATAAAAGAGACATTTGAGTAAGCCTTGTAGTCTAACACGATTGTATTTATCAAACCCAACTATCATGTAGTTTAATATACCTCAAAAGCAATGTAGATAGTCTCTTGGTCATCTTAATCAAATAATTGATAATGTGTCACATCCCTCCCATTTCCTATCCTATCAAGGATTTAGAAATGTCAACACAAAGTTTAAATGTGGTTAATTCTACATCCTTTGAGTTATTAATAAAAATAATAAAGGCAGGATAAAAATCAGATGAATGAATGAATGAATGAATGAATGAAATGAATATATACAGTACATACATACTTAAGCAGGCTTTGCCTTTTTCAAGCCTTTGTTAATAGAATGTGGCAGAGTTCCAATATATCCTAACTACTATAACATGTTTTATAAACCATGTTAAAGTAATGCCTTACAATCTGTGAATGTAGACAAGTATCTGACCTGACCAACTACCTTAATGCTTATCTTTTAGCCATGTTTAGGGAGATAAAGCACGTCACATCTGCACCAACCAAGATATATAATATATGTTGTTCATATGAGATGTAATACAACATTTATACAAAGTTTCATTATTCATTATTTTGTTGAGCTATGAAAAGTGGTCATCGCTACTTCAACCTTTTAATTTTCACCTATAATTATGACGAAACAATACTATCACATGTTTATAAAAGAGGAATGCAAACAAAAATTTATGCTGTTCATGTTATTCACTCACAGGAAATCATGCATAGTAAAAGACTAAATAAAACAGCAATTTAAAGCAAGCCTACCTCTTATTAAAGAACTAATGCCCAATTTATTCACAAAGATATTGTCCAGCTCTTCACTTCCAGTGAACAGTTCAGCCACTATATACAAGTTGGGCCGTAATTTTCTAGCTGTGTCCATCATATACTGCAAGAAGCATAGCCAAGAAAGCCACAGATAGGGAAATGCAGAACAGCAGGAAAAAAAAGAATGCAAAGCTAGGCATGGATTTGGAGATCAGGGAAAAACGCCATGCGGAAAAACCAAATTAGGAAGCCAAACGTTTAAAGAACCAAAAAGGTTCAGTTATGAAGATTCAAGAAAATGAGCCCAAGACAAAGAATGAAGAATGAGATAGAAGAGGGAAACCAAAAGGAGAGAGAGAGGGAAAGGTGTTTGAAATTGGCCAAGGGTACAAGAATAAATACAAATGAAAAGACAAAATTAGTTCCACGTAGAGATTTTGACTTTATTATAAACACAGCAACCCTACAACAAACCTTTCAAGCATTTTATTTTTTTAAGGGTACCTCTAATCAGACTGGTAATTCCTAGGCGGTTGACAAAGACATTGTCAATGACCTCGCTGCCAGTGAAGAGTTCAGCTATCACATACAGATTAGGTCTGACCGACCTGGCTGCTGCCAGCATTTCCTATAGATTGTAACACATTTTTTAAAAAGTGCCTTCTTATAGGATGACCTTTTCTGACAAATATAGGACTTCCATTCTATTATTCTCTAATGACTATGGTTTCCATAATAATACATTAAAAACTTAAATTAAAACGGGAAGAATGATAGAGACATCATTCTGCGTGGCACGACAAAACCGCGGTCCACTAAAGCACACCCGATTAAAGCGCGTACCTGACGTCATCAGCAGCGCGACAAATA